GAAACAAAAAGGAAAAAATGCAAATAAAAAAAAAACAAACAAACAAAAATCAAAGGGAATCGGACCCCAAGTCGACTCGGATTTATTGAAGAAACAACCCGCATTTATTGAAGAACAGACCCAAAAAAACTCAAAACCCGAACCCAAAGCTGTTGATTTCTCACGATTTTGAACCTTTGCTTGTGGATTCCTCGATCACTAAACCCCACACCTATGATATTTCCCCCAAAACAGACCTCAAACACCCTTCGATCGACCTTAGAAACAATGAAACCAACCCGAGCGGTGAGGAGCCAAACCCAAAAAATAAGAACGTGAAGAACGAAACCCGAAACCCAAAAAAAAATACAGCGATCAAAAACTAACAATTAACCCTTTTGCTTTTGATTTTCGAAACCTCTCGACCCGAATTCTTCGCCCAAAAGTTTCCCCTTCGTTCGTGAAATTTAAACGTTTTATAGTCAAAACATTTCCTAAAATTGAATCGAAATCCCCGAAATTCCTGAATTTTTCGTCAAAAATTTTCCTCTTTAATTCATGATTAATTGTGAAATCAAAACAGGAAATTCTTATTGATTCTCGTTAGTGTTGGTTTTGGCAACAAAATCAATGATTAATACACAATCAAAAACGAGAAATTCATGGAGGATTTGGGCGGATTCTCCCAAAGATTTTCGGAGAGAATCGCCTTAGAGCGAACGACATGTCGTTTGCTCCCTTTCGATCTCGTCGTTCACTCCAAACTTCTATTTTGGTCCTCGCGCTTTCAATTTCAGCAATTACGCCCCTCTACGAAATAATTTCAGTACAATCTCAACAATTAGGTCCCCGGTTGTGCAATTTAAGGCCTAAACTTTTTAATTGACTCGATTACACCCTTAATTACTTCAATGGTATCCCTAAATGAATTTTTTTTTATTTTTTTCATCATTTTCTTTCTCTTTTTTTTTCTTTTTCCTTAATAAACTTCAAATTAAAAACAAAAAAAAAATGATAAATAATAAATAATAAATAAATAAAATAAAAATAAAAAATAAAAAATAAGAAAATTTTGGGTTATTACGGATATAAGGATAGATTTGAAAGTTACCATATTATATGATAACGAATTGAGCTATTAACACCGATAGAAAAGGAATAAATGTGAATATTTATCTCTATATTACGAAAGTATAAGTTAAATCACGATAATTCATGTAAAGAATTTATATATAAATATATCATATTTCCTTGAAACATAAGAGGATTCCAATTCAAATAAAGTGTAAAATTTGCAAAAACTTATATATCAAATGTGTGAAAACATCTTAAAAATTATAAACGATACGAGTGAAATGCACAATAAAATTGAGTTTTAGTCCACAATTCAAATAGATATACATAAACAATGAAAGAACTAATGCATACTATAGTGTTTAAGCATTCAGCTGTACTTTACTTTGAATTTTTTTTTAAAAGATCTTATCATGAATGAATAATGGCTTTTTGTTATGACTATAAAATAACTACAAACCTAATAAATAATTATAGTTAATAAAAAACTACAACATGTATAACCGATTCACAATTGAATAGAATTTCTTTCTAATATTGATTTTTCTTATAAGTGTTTGTTACTTTTGGTTCCTATAAAAAATGGAAGGTGTCCTTAAAAATGGAAAGGATTAATAATTCAATTTGTCTTTATATGATAGAGTAATTCTTTAATTTATTTTTATTTTTTCAATTGAACCCATTTTATTCTTGAATATACATTAAGTGTTTAATATATCATTTTAGTAAGATTTTTAGGCCAAGCTACTAGAATTAGTCACACAATTTACATGTAAAAGCCTTCTATTTGTTTGGTTTTTAAGAATATTTTAGAAATAAAAATTAATTATGTACAAATCACGTAAGTAATTCTAGTGGTTTGGTATGAATATTGACAAAATGATAGATTCGAAAATTAATGTATATTCAAAGATAAAAATTGACTCCATTAAGGATATAAGGATAGATTTAAAAATTACCATATTATATAATAATGAATTGAGCTATTAACCCAAATAGAAAAGGAGTAAATGTGAATATTTATCTCTATATTAAGAAAATATGAGTTAAATCTCAATAATTCATGTAAAAAAAAACATAAATAAATATATCATATTCCCTTGAAACTTAAGAAGATTTCAAAAAAAAAAAAAAAAAAAAAAACAGAGCTAAATTAAAAAAAAATTTATATTTATAACATTACAAAAAAAAATTGATATTTATAACATTACAAAATATCTTTCAATATTAAATATATTTATTCTATGGATACTACTAAATTTATCAACCAAATTGTTATTTGCACCATTTTTTAAATAATTAACAATATATCATTCACTAATTATCAATAACAATTATATAATAAATATTAGTAAAGGATATTCTGATAATTTTTAAAAAATAATGGAAATAACAATTTGATTATGAATTTAGCAGTAACTTCATATACATACGAACTGAAGTAAAAAAAAAAACTTAGAAAATATTATTTGCTTAAACAAAGAAGAGAACAAAATGTTCTTTTCACATTTTTTTTTTATGGAAAACAAGATGGCGTTTAGCATTCAGATGCATTAAAATATGTTTACCACCCTTAATTATATTTTTATTTATTCTATAGTAAGGATATTTTTTAACTCGTTTGTAACTTAATCCAGACCAAAAAATTTTTCAAGGAGATCTTATGGTCGTACAACTTGGTGCATTAATTTTTTTAAAAAAATAAATAAATAAATTCTCCTACGTACTGGTCTTAAGTCAAGAAAAAGAGCTAACATCCTTAACCAATAGTCTTTTATGATTCCATCCCCAATAATCTGTTATTAAAAAAAAAAATTAACTGAAAAATTAAATTAAGGATTTATTGAACATAAATTATTACAAGCAATTTTAAAGGGTTGTCTTGGTATTAATTTCGTTTTTTTTTCTTTTCATTTTTATATTTTTGTTTTGGAATTTTTTTCCAACTTTTATTTCTGCGAAGTTGCATTTAGTCTTAGTTTGGTACTCGTCATTGAGATTAATGCTCATGCTATCCAAACTTAGGTTAACTTGTCATTTCTCAATCCCCCGGCATGCTGAATCTTGTCCCACTCATTCCTCATACTGGACCCTAGCACGACCCTCAAGTATTTTGGACTTGATCTAAGCCCTATCCCTGGGCGGAATGAACCCTCACCAGAGCCCAATCCTTGGGTGCAATGAACCAAATCTTGATCCGAACTTCGAACGTCCTAGACTTGATTTGATCTTCAATTGTCTTGGATTCGGGCCTACACTCCACCTCGACTAGACTATTCTTGGACGCCCAGTACTCGAACATGACTCCCTGGACCTGGTCCTAACCGACTACCGGACACGCAAAATCCAGTCCTGGTCCCACCATCGAGTGCCTCAAACTCTGTTATAGGTAGGGGTGAGCATTCGATTAAATGGTTCGATTTTGTATGATTCGGTTCGGTTTTGGTTAACAGAATTTAAAAAATAAAAACAAAAAACGAACCGAAATAAATTCGATAAATTCAATTTGTAACCGAATTATTTCGGTTTGGTTTCGAAATATTTCGGTTTTAACCAAAATATTTTGTCGTAAAAAAAAATTATTATAGAGAGATGTTTTGTACAAGCACTTAGTCCACTAGCCAATGAAGTAACATCTTGTTATCAATTAATCTTTTTTATAAACAATCACAAAGCCCTTGAAGATTTTAACTAAGCTTTAATGAAAATAAGTCCCAAGTGTAATAAATTTGCTCATTCAAATACACTGTATCCCAATTAATTACACTCTATCACTTTCTTTTCTTATCCCAACGGTTTTCAAAATTTACTTCTCATTTGCGTGTTTCAATTTCAACAAGAATGAAGATTGAGTTAAGAATTTAGAAATTAGGAAATTTTTTACTTTTTATTTCGGTTTTCGGTCGAAACCAAAATTTTTTTTCTAAAAACCGAATCGACACGAAATAATTTCAGTTTTTTCGGATCGGTTTTATATTGTATAATTTTATATTTAAAACCGAACCAAATTTCATAATTCAATTCGATTTTATTCGGTTTTCGTTTAACCAAACTGTTTGTTCATCCCTAGTTATAGGCCAACCCTCGTACGCCTAAAACACGACCTCGACTTGAACTTCAAGCTTGACTCTTAATCCCTCCGAACTAAATCTCAGCTTGATTCTCCTAGCTAGACTTCGAACTTAGTCTTAGTTCCGACTTGATCCTCACATGTCCCAGACTCAACTCACTGGTCTCGGCCCCACCCGATCACTGAGCACCAGACCTAGTTCTAGATTGAACTCGGGCTTCCTAAAACGAAACGTGCTACTGGCCTATTCTTTAAAATTTAGAGCCTAGCTTGGCTCCCAAATTGTAAGATGCTATTACAGAAATCAGTCTAAATAAACAAATAGTTTTGTATTTTTGAAAACCAGAAATGAAAAGAGTTAATTATAAATTAGTCCTTATAGTTTATCAAAACAAATTAAACGATTTTATAGTATTAAAAAAAGAAAAAGAAAATCATTTCATCAATATTTGCCATGATTAATTTAATAATATATATTTTTTCTAAACATGTTCTTATTTATCTTCAATCTTACCATGTTATCTATTTTTCTTTTTTCTTTTTTTTTTTTACTTAAAAAATATGGGAATCAAATATATAGTTTCGGAAATCGTAAGGACTATTTAATCAGTTTTGATAAGCTACAGGGACTAAGATATAATTAATCAAATTGAAAACTACTGAGAACTTGTGAAAAACAGAAGGCGGAAAACGCCTCCACTCCTTCCGGCGATCTGCTGCTATCTCCGCCGCGTTCTTCAACACCACGAGCCTCTGGTTTAGAGTTCGAGATCAGTGATTCAATACGTTATTCTCCTGTAAACACAAAAGTCAAGCTAACCATAAATAAAGTCACCTTAGCCAACTGCACCACACCAAGACGAAAACAACCGAAGTAATGCGCGGGAATTACCTTTTGAGACAGTTACACAGTAGCTGCTCCATTCCCAGCTACAATTTCCAATCAGCAAAACCCAAAAACTCATACCCTTCAAAGAAAAAATTAACGTCCCAAAACAACAAACTGCAAAACTCCAGCACCACAGACTCTGACATTGTAAAATGGAACATTGCCATAACCACCCACATGCGACATGGCCAATGCGAATGCGCTCTTCGAGTTTTTAACTCCATGCCTCGAAGAAGCTCGGTCTCGTACAATGCAATGATATCTGGGTACCTACAGAATCACAAGTTTGATCTTGCAAGAGACTTGTTTGATAAAATGCCTGACAGAGATTTGTTTTCTTGGAATGTGATGTTAACTGGGCATGTCAGGAATAGGGATCTTAATACTGCGCGTGCTTTGTTTGAGAGGATGCCAGAAAGGGATATTGTTTCTTGGAATGCTATGTTATCTGGTTATGCGCAGAATGGGTTTGTTGACGAGGCAAGAGAGATTTTTGATAAGATGCCTCATAAGAATGAGATTTCGTGGAATGGGTTGCTTGCGGCGTATGTGCAGAATGGGAGGATAGAGGATGCGAAGAGGTTGTTTGAGTCGAAGATGGATTGGACGATTGTTTCTTGGAATTGTATGATGGGTGGGTTTGTGAGGAAGAGGAGGTTAGTGGATGCTAGGAGGGTTTTTAATAGGATGGCTGTGAGAGATGAGGTTTCATGGAATACTATTATTACTGGTTATGCACAGAATGGAGAGATGGAAGAGGCGCGGAGATTGTTTGAGGAGTCTCCAATTCGGGACGTGTTTACATGGACGGCGATGATTTCTGGATATGTGCAAAATGGGAAGTTGGATGAAGCAAGAAGTATTTTTGATAGGATGCCTGCGAAGAACTCAGTTTCGTGGAATGCAATGATTGCAGGGTATGTGCAACGTAAAAGAATGGACATGGCTAGAGAATTGTTTGAGGCGATGCCTTCCAGGAATGTTAGTTCTTGGAATACAATGATCACTGGATATGCTCGGAGTGGAGATATTGCCCATGCAAGGAACTTGTTCGATAGCATGCCTCAGCGTGATTCTATCTCTTGGTCAGCTATGATTGCTGGTTACTCTCAAAACGGTTGCAGTGAAGAGGCTTTACATTTGTTTGTAGAAATGCAAAGAGATGGCGAAAGGTTGAATAGATCCTCATTTACCTGTGCTTTGAGCACATGTTCCAGCATAGCTGCTTTGGAATTGGGGAAGCAGTTGCATGGTCGGCTGGTTAAGGCTGGGTACCATACTGGGTGGTATGTGGGGAATGCTCTTCTTGCGATGTATTGTAAGTGTGGAAGTATAGATAACGCGCATGATGCATTCCAAGAAATACTAGAAAAGGATGTGGTGTCTTGGAACACAATGATTCATGGTTATGCGAGGCATGGCTTTGGGGAAGAGGCTCTGACAGTTTTTGAATTAATGAAGACTGCAGGAATCAGGCCAGATGATGCCACCATGGTAAGGTTTGATGTATTATTCTGATATGTGTCTAACCAATATTTAAGCTAAAGCACCAAATCCTCTACAAGCATTCTCATCCCTACATTACAATAAATTGTTCTTGTAACATGTAAATTTGGCATCCGATCACGCAATAGTGGGAGAGAACCATTTGCTGAACTTAAAAGGCCAGTTAAGTTACCAACTAAAGTTCATTATGGAATGAGAAAATATTTCGTTTAATAATTTGAAGATTTCTAGAGCTGATATCTTAAAACCAAATTGTCTCATTTCATGTGCACATCTTTTCTATATTAAACATTCTTGAACTTTTGCTCCTCTATCCATGTTTCAGGTTGCTGTATTGTCTGCCTGTAGTCATGCTGGCTTGGTAGACAAGGGCAGTGAATATTTCTATTCGATGAATCGTGATTATGGTATAACTGCAAATTCAGTACACTATACCTGTATGGTTGATCTTCTAGGTCGAGCAGGGAACCTAGAAGAGGCCCAGAATTTGATGAAAAACATGCCTGTTAAACCAGATGCTGCAACCTGGGGTGCTTTGCTTGGTGCAAGCAGAATACATGGCAATACAGAATTGGGTGAAAAGGCTGCTCGGATCATCTTTGAAATGGAGCCTCATAATTCAGGAATGTATATTCTTCTCTCAAAATTATATGCAGCTTCAGGAAGATGGTCTGATGCTGGTAAGATGAGATTGGAAATGAAGAATAAAGGTGTGAAGAAGGTACCTGGGTACAGCTGGCTTGAAGTTCAAAATAAAATTCACACATTTAAAGTTGGGGACACTTCCCACCCACATACGGATAAAATTTATAACTTTTTAGAAGAGTTGGATTTGAAATTGAAGGAGGAGGGATATGTGTCCTCTACAAAGTTGGTCATGCATGATGTGGAAGAGGAGGAGAAGGTGCATATGCTGAAGTATCACAGTGAAAAATTAGCCGTGGCTTATGGGATTCTGTTCGTACCTCCTGGGAGACCAATCCGTGTGATAAAAAACCTGCGGGTGTGTGAAGATTGTCATAATGCAATCAAATTCATATCAAGGATTGTGGGAAGGTTGATCATCCTCAGGGATAACCACCGGTTTCATCACTTCGAGGGAGGATCATGCTCCTGTAGAGATTACTGGTGATCTAGCGAAACTAAGGATTTTGTACCCTTATAGAAATGCAGATATACTCAGTACGTGTCAAATTCTTGCATGTTGACTTTTCCTGTATCTGAGTAATTGAATTTGTTGCTCTTATAAGCAAAGAATAGAGGTCAGCACCTGCTGCTGTGTGAAAGGCAGACTGTTGAAGTTATCCAGAAGTGGGGGAGTACTTTTTATTTTTTCAGAAAAGATGTCATGGATTTCTTGAAGAAAATCAGAAAGTGGTTCACGAATTTTAAAAGTCCCAGTATTTTGAAACAAGTTTCTTGCTGATTGGTAATGGAAGCTTGTGTGTATAGTATAGCTTCTTCCTGAAATGTAACAGAGTTTCTCGTGTTTAAGAGATCATAAACCTCAAGGACCTTGTACGGTACATACTAAGAAACAGAATATGCAGTGAAAACATCCAGAATTCTCTGCTTTTTCCAGTTGATAGGCAGGGTAAGATGGTCATTAGCTCTGAGATACGAGAACAGGCTTAAGGATAAAAGTTAATGTATTCAGCTGATTGTGTGGAAGAGGAAAGAGATCAAATCTGAAAAATTGAATGTGAAGTAAGTGTTTTATCAAATTCATTCCCCATTGAAGTTTTGATGTTTACCCAGGATGAGTGGTGGAAACTTGGTTGCATTGAGTAACCCCCTTATCAGGGCAGGCATTTCTAAAACCACTCCTACTTTTGCAAAATATTATAAACTTTTGTTTCTTTATTTGGAATATGCGAATATGCGAATATGCTCTGACACACTTCTTGACCGAGTTCAAGGTACTTGTTGTGGTTGCTTGTCATTGGAATACTTTGATCATCCCATGCCCCTGTTTAGTAGATTTGGTATCCATCACCCTTTTTAATTTCTTTTATTCTGGCAGACAGGAAAGAAGTCCAAGGAAAGGTTCTGTGTTGCTCGAAGCATGAAGTAGTAGGGGAGTTATCTTTGACGCAAACTGACGATGAAGATGGAATGTATGCAAATGTTCGTCCTTATTCTTTATAATCAAGTCTATGTCTAATATCCTGTCTCTTTTTTTCTTTGTTTTGCTATATCTTCTTAGTTAATTTCCTTACAATTCTTTGGTCTTATCTATTCCATGTTTGGTTTCGGACATGCAATCAATTATATACTAATTTGCAAAAGTCAAAATAAAAAGTTAATAGTTGTGTCATATATATGGAGCTTAACAATCCAATTCCAATCAAAATCATCAGCATTGCAAAACTTTTCAATATTGAACTTCCTATATTCCAGGAAAAAAAGGGTCAATTCCCATGACTGACTCCTATGGAACTGAAAAGCAATTGATTGGTTCGATATAGAAATTTTCATTTTTTTCGTATATTCTCACTAAACAAGCTTTTTATAGCTACATAGAAAAGTCTTAACAATCATGGTGTTGGGGTTACTCTTTTATTACTGTTTGATATCATAAAAGTTTAAGACCTCAGGTGGGAAGCCTGAGGTGCAATGTAGAAAATAGGTGAAATGGCAAAGAGGAGTAGGTCAGTAATAAAATGCTGTAAAAGTAATGTAGTTGAATTGACAAAAACTTTGTGATAAGTTTTAAATGCTTGATGATCATCTTAGCTCGTACCAGCTCAGTGCAATATGTGTTCTGCTACTGTACGTTTCCAGGCGGCAGATTTCTCCATTCTGTCATTTAACCAAACAGTATTACAAAATAAATCATCAAATATTTTTAACACCTGCCCATCATCCATTTGCATGCATTGCTTTCACAATGATGATCAGAGTCGATCATTCGTCTTGTTATAGTTAATGTCTTCAGTTTCATATCCAGAATTTAATTTCTTGCTTTATAAATAAATATTCTGATTAATTCCTCATATGTCCTAGACTTCTAACCAGTGTTGCCATTAATTCCTATCGATATCTTATCCTATATGTGCTACCTATTTCCTTGCATGGCATGCTGTCTTCATGAATTTTTTCTGCCTATTTAAACTAGTTGAATTAGCCTTCATTAGAAGTGTTGTGCCTTGTTAGTACTCACTAGTGGATGGAGTTTGCTTGGTGCAGCTCGGGAATTTATTCCTGATGTCTTACATTTGATCAAGGGAATGAATTCTCAGCTGCATCAAGCAAACTTGATCTCATCTGTGAACAATTCTAATTCCTATGCAGAGAACTGCAGTGAATGCCAGATTAAGTTTTCCTTCTCATGTTCACTTTGTCTGAAAATTCCCCTCATAAATATAAGCAATATTTACAAGATGATGAGTATAGGCTGTAGCTATCTCTGTTGCGGATGCATTTGTTGGTCAACAATACCGCAAAAGGCAGTAGCACATGAAGCGGAATCAAGATGGAAGAATATCTATTTTTATTACTATTTTCGTTACTATTAAATAAAAATAAGTCAGGACCAGTTAATTAGGCAAGAAATATGAAAGTCATAATTGTTTGATTTAAACCTTCCATGTATTAGAAAGTCAAATTAGACAATAGTCTTTCATGTTTGTATTTGCTTTTAAGACTTCTCTATTATACAAAGAGGAGATGAAAATTGAATAAAGGCATTGAAAAAAATTATAGCCAAAAAGGTTTAGGAGAGTTTGGAGTTCTCTTAAGGACAAGCCTCCATTGTTATTGTCAAAATAGGTTTCTCTAGGAAAGGGATGGACCAAAACAAGTAAAAAAGAGAGGGTTTACTATACACAGACTTGTGATGCGATTCTTGTCTCGGGATCATAACAAATTGTTATTAGAGCTAGTCGTCATAGGTTATTACGAGCTGGTGGCAACTAGGGTGTAAGATTTGAATTGACAAATGATAGAATCCAATTAGTTGATTGGTCTAGAGTCGCAAGAGTTGAGGGACGGTATGAAGGCCATACAGCGCATGTTGGAATTGCAGTCTCTAGGCAAGGGTAAGTCTCAAGATTGTGAGATTGGATCCGGCAGCAGCAATCAATAGGTAACCAAACCTCACGTGAGACATCACGAAGAGCGTGTAGGGATGGTTGTGATTTCTAGATACTCCAAACTGGAGTTTCCATCCTACAATGGAGTAGAGGATGACTGTATTGATGTGAACAAATTTTTCCTTAATCAACAAATAGGGGATTTGGTTGCTTTTCACATGGCGGGTGAGACTTAGTTGTGATTTGTTCGTGTGAACCAAAAAGAACTTCTTGGTTCACATGGTAATAGTTCAAGTCCTATTGTCTTTTTCAGTTTGGACCTCTTTTGAGCAGCAACCCACTAGCAGAATTGGCAAACCTCAAACAACTAGGGATAGTGGAAGAATATCATGAGTCAAATTCAGACGGCTCCTAGCTAGGGCTACTTCTGTCAAGTTTGATCATCAAGTTGATTTATTTATCGTAGAACTTATAGAGGCACTGAGGGTGGATGTAGAGATGCAACAACCTCTTAATCTAGTTACAATTATGAATTTAACACGAGCTTTCGACAGAGAGTTACGACTCTCTATCGGAATTGGAGTGAGAAACACTCTTTCTAACTAGTTTCCCTCTAAAACGAGATTTAGCTCCTCCACTCATTGTCAATTATGAATCAAAACAAGTGGAAGGAATTTTGTCCATGGTTTCCAACACAAAAATACATCAACGCGTTTTATGAAGAAGTTATCAAGAGCGGAGATGGCGGAGAGGCGAGCAAAAAGGCTTTATTACCATTGCGATGAGTCGTTTCATGCCAAACACTGATGTAAACGTTTGTTCTGCTTGTTGGTGGATGACTTTGACAAGGAACTAGACTCGCTGTGGATCCCAAAATATCCCCTATGCCATAATAAGGATTAGGAATGCACTCTGATGCTGCTACGTAGGAATTGGTCATTGCCTTACGAGAGTCTTATCCAATGTTTGAGTTTGAGGACAAGCTCATGGTCCAAGAGGGGAGTAATGTTGCGGATGCATTTGTTGGTCAACAATACCATAGAAGACAGCAACACATAAAATGGAATTAAGATGGAAGAATATCTATTTTTATTGCTACTTTTATTCAACTTTTATTACTATTAAATAAGATTAAGTCAGGACCAGTTAATTGGGCAAAAATTATGAGTCCTAATTATTTAGTATTTTAATTAAACTTTTCATGTATTAGAGAGTCAAATTAGGTAATCATATTTTATGTTTGTATTTGCTTTTAATTTCTATTATATTAAGAGGAGATGGAAATTAAATAAAGGAATTGAAAAGATTTAGGAGAGTTTGGAGGTCTTTTAAGAATAAACATCCATTGTTACTATCAAAATAGGTTTCTCTAGGATAGTGAGGAACCAAAACATCGAGAAAGAGAGAATTTTCCTATATACAGACCTGTGATGCGCATCTTTGTCTCAGGACCATGACAATCTTTAATTCATACTAAATGCAATCTTTCCATTCTTCATCCTCCTAGCTAGATCATATTTCTAAATGTCACCAATCCAGATGGATCAACCCTAATTATATGTTTTGAGAAATCACGTGTAGCTAGTATGGGTGTTGTGGATGTGGAATGAAAGATTACAAACAATTATTTTAGTAACTTTGTAATTGAAATAATTTTTTAATACCAAGATAGTTTCATGGATATTTTATCAAGCATTTATAGGATATTCTACTAGTTAACTGAGCATAGGTTGTAGGTAAAAAATGATTTTTTTCTAAGAGCAACCAATGATGAAAGTGCAGTTATAAGTATCTTACACCAATTTTTTTTTAATATACTATTTTCTTAAACTAACATTTTTGTCTTGATATACATCTAACTTGAGACATTATGTATATGTTTGGATTTCACATTTTATTTTTATTAATTGCATAATTATTTATGTAGATGTCGAGCCTCGAAAATACTACTATTGAACATCTTTGTTCAAGCAATCCAACACAATCAAGTGCAACTCTATCAAACATAACAGAGGACAAGAGAACGAAGAGGAAACCAATAATGATATTTCACAAAGTTTGAAGATGAAAATAAAGACATTAAGGATAGACGGTAATTATTATGATGAGGTATTTGCCACTTATCTTATTAGAAATGACATTACCTCACTTAAAGCTCATTTGACCATATACAAAAAAACACCCTTATAGTATTGATTTTAAACAAACACAATGAAGTTCAAAAATTCAAGAGGTAGAGACTACTCTTAACACATGAAAGTTTGATCAAAATGCTATTATAAATGGTTTAGCTTACATGATCATTGTAGATGAGCTTCCATTAAAATTTTCGAAGGGTGTTGGTTTAAAAAGTTTATTTTCATTGCACAATTTAGATTTAAAATTCCATCTTGGTTTACGATTTCAAAATATTACTATCAATTTTATTTAAATGAGAGATTAAGGTTGAAGCGATTTTTGGAAAAAAAAATTCTCAAAATGTTTGTCTCATTATGAACACATGGTCATGTATTAGAAGAATTGATGTTGCAACTAATCGTTAGAGGTAGAGTTTAAACAATTTCTAGAGGTAAGTACATTCATCCACCAATAGCCACGCTAATTATAAGGGTGAACAACATAGTTTCAAAAATAAAAAAGTCCAAGTTAAATCATAATGGCTCCTCAACCACATAAGAATATTTTGAACTACTCAATTAAATGACCTTTTTTGGCCCACCTGTTGCATGGTCCATTTTTTAGAATATTGTGAGTATGGAATATGATATATACATTTTGTAATAAACAATATATAGTGGGCTATGTAGTGTTTTCTTTATAAAAATTAGAACTACTCGTTGTGTTTTGTTGTATTGGGATTGGTTGTTGTATTGAAGTCGGCTATTGTATGATCAATTTGTTAGATTTTTATCTTGAAAAGTTAATGCCTTTCCTCTTTATAGGTTTTATAATTAATTAAACATTGATTGTAGTACTTTTGTTAAACAAGTGCCAATATATCAACCATCGATAGCACATGGCACTTGGAAGAAGGATACAAGTTGACTCAAGAATGAAAAATGTCCAAAACAAGCCTTAAAAGCTACTATAGAGATTGAAATTGAATGGTATTGAAAAGTTCAAAACAAATATCCTAATAACACAAAACATATCAATGTTGCTAAAAAATATCACTTGGTCACAACTTTAACTTTCCCCTAACCCCTTCATTGCCGATCCTCGATCTTATTTTATCAAGTTCTTCAATCAAATGAATTTTAGTTTGCTTTCTCTTCTTTGCTTCAATTCCTATCAAACTTGAATTTTATCTTTCAAGTATCTCAAGTAACTCAATTCTTTCCTTCAACTCTTCAATCTCAATTACAACCGACTTCGTAGCTCCACATACGATGCGATCCATTCTTTCTTTCAACTCTTCAATCTAATTTACAAATGACTTTGCGGCCTCACACATAATGAGCTCATCTTCAATCCATTTTCAAAACCCACAATTGTCAACCTAAAAGTGATAATATTTCATGAAAACAAAATATCAAATATATAGTGTATTTCTTATAACACGGAAGAAATTTCGGTAACTAAAAACAATAAATACCTTCTAATATAGGCAACAAACGAACTTCTTCCTTGGGTTAGTTTTAGTTCGTGAAATATATAGGCTCGTCTTCATCTTATGCTTGCATAAAGGTGTCTTGAAAGTTGGGAAACATATTTTCAATGCTTCATCCATGTTGAAGCTACTCCTCGTATATGCCATATTCGTAGGTTTTTTGAAAGTTATGCAAATGAAGGTATGGGTAATACATGTTTGGATTTTGATCCATTACAATGCAATTGATCTATTACAATATAGTTGATCCATCATAATACAATTGAAGAATTTACACGAACGAGAGGAGGCACCAAAGCCTAGAATCATCAAAGCAAACATAAATGAGAAAACCCATAAAAAATTAAATGAAAAAACACACACACACACACACACACACATGCGAGAGAGAGAGAGAGAACCTTATAATTAAAGATTCGTGGGGGAATGGGTACTAGTTAAAGATTCGTAAGGGAATGGTACTAGTGAAGATTTGTGGGTATTACAAGGAGTGGAGGATAGAGGCTGGACTGGAAATTTTGGGTTCGATGAAATCAAATAAATTGCTAGATTTGATGAAGGAAAATGGTATGGTTCCTAACCAATGGACTTACGGTATTTTTATAGACACTTTTTGTAAATCAAAACGGATGGAGAAAACTTTTGATTTACTCAATTCACTTAATGAAAAGGCATAAAGGCAAACAAAATCATATGCACTTGTGTTCACCGATGGACATTGCAAAGATGGGAAACTAGATGAGAAAACCCATAAAAAATGAGAAGAAAACAAGTAGAGAGAGAGAGAGAGAGAACCTTATAGTTGAAATTTGGTGGGAGGGGGAATGGATAATTGTTGAAGATTCGGTGGTTTTTCGAGAGGTATGCAAATGCAAGTATGGGTTTTGGTTTGGGAATTTTGTGAGGAGGAAAAGGACTAGTTGAAGAAGAGAAGAAAATTAGGATTCTTGTGCGTCATGCACAAAGAAGAGAAAAAGATTGGAGGTCTTATTCGTCGGGCAAAGAAGAGAAGAAGATTAGGGATTTGGGTTAGCTTGTTCATCGATCGGGTAGAGAAGAGAAGAGAAGAAATTATGGATTTGGTTTTTTAAGAATTGAATTGAATTAGATTAGTTAGTTTTAGGAATTGGTTTTGAATAAGTGAGCATGCAACATTTCGTCCATCCTAAGCTGAATTATAATTGTTATCCACATGTCATCTTATGTGGACTTTTTTCAATGTATTATTTTATGTGTCATATCACGTCGGATGAATTCGAAATCTTGAATGAAAAATGGCTCTCGTGCTAAAATTTTTATCGAAGCATAATTCATATATTTTTCATACATTTTTGAAAGAACATGCCGGAAAGATTAAAAGGTGTATAATTCGTGTTTTTATGGTACAATAAGCCAAACAGAAATTAATATTTTAGTTTAAAATCTTAGTTCAAACCCAATTGTGATCATTTCTAATTTTTACTCGGTTTCTCGTGACTTTTATTTCATAATATCAACAATTTTGCAATGATGTTGAATTTTGCCAATTCAGTTCTCTGAAATTCTAACAAAAACTCCACTTTTAATGGGTTTTCCTTTCATATTTTATTTTATTTTATTTTCTTGAACAAGCGGTTCTGTGTGCAGCTAGCATTTCTGATGCTCCTCCATACTATGAAAGGACATATTGTAATTAATCATTTAAGAACTAATAATAGGCTTCCAATTAAAAAAGTTCAGATTTACAATCTCATCCAAATACAATTAAGAAGGTTTTAATACAAACGGAGGTTTAGTAGTCTGAATTTTCTCTCCATCCATATACATTTAGAACATGAAAAAATTCTCCCTACTTTGGAATTGGCTCGACTAAATTTTATGCTACTATTCCTTAGGCAAAATTCCAAAGAAATTGCAAATCTCCAATAAAACGGATTTTATTCGTTTAATTACAAATAATAAACACTTTTGAGAAATAATTAGTAGTAGATTCCATAAACCTGTAAAATTTTCTAAACCAAAAATCGAGAAAATCCAAACTAGCCATCGATGTTTATAGCGAATACCTTGACCAAAAAGCAGCAGTATCTTGGTAGCTCTGCTAAGCTACTAAGGAACCTTGTGAATATGAACAATAAAAACAAGGTGGTGTTTATTCGTTAACCATAATGACAGGATTGCATCTTTATCAAAACCGTGCAAAGAAACGAATTTCAACCTTCAAGATGATCAGGACATATCTTGATCAAAAATGGCAAATCCATCACAACAGAAAATGGGATGATCCCCAGAAATAGATGTAAGCAGAGCAGGTTATAAACATATAGATCCCTTAACAACCACAGTCAATATTTTCCTTCATGTTTGAGGCTTATATTCTAAGACCCTAAGTATATTATGTTTAGAGTTTGAGGAAACCATGTTCAAACAATCGAACAACCTAGGTCAACTGTTAGTTGCTTTAGACATTTTTCGGCAAATGGAAACAACAAAACCTAAATTAACTTCAGAGCAAAAAAATAGACAAAGAAAGCTTCAGTCACAAAAATTACATCTCGTATTTTCATTATCTACATGAATTCACACGCCCTGAGCCCCTGAGTTCTCTTCAGGACACTAAGATTTGCTGTCACTTTCGACCTTCTAATTAAATTCGGCAGAGTCAGGTTTTCAGGATCTGACATGGGTTAGTTTACCAAAATTTTAGAATTTTGTTGAGCTACTACTTACAAGGCCTTAGAAGAATATGCATTGCTTGGGAGTGTCTAAGAGTAAGCAAACATTTGACTCTGGGCATGGTTTTCAGGCCTAGGCCTAGCAGGAAAGTCAATGATATGCATGAACATACATAGGAACAAACACACACAAATGCACAAGCTATGATTAATGCTGAAAACAGGTTTCCTTACTTCATCGTCAAGTTATAGTATGTCTGCTTGCTAGCTGAGAGCCTGGTGACTAACTACTGCTAGTTGCGTAAGTCCATCCTGGTTTCCAAAATTTTGAGAGAGATGGATGACTTACTGGAACATTAATTAGCTGGCGAGAAGACTCCACTGAAAAATCAACTAGTAGGAACTCATTCGTTTCCAGCAGGAAGCGGTTTCTCAATCTTCAATAAGTAATCTAGCAACAGCAATAAATTACCTGACGAGTTGTTCTGCTTGCACCTTGGTGCTTTGGCATTTGCACTACATAATTTGACTTTGGAATTGATTATCTGGCGAAGAACTCCTGAATCAGATCCACATCCTGTAAAATAACACTTGGTGTAACATCATCATGAACCATTTGTGGAAGCTAAAAACTCATTATGAAATCAAGTCCTTGCAAAATACCAAGAAGTGTCTGAATTGCAGTTTGTGCTGCCAGTTGTTCTGCCTCTTTCCTGCTTTTCGCTACTTCACCTTCGTAAATTTTACCATGGAAAAAACAATTTGGAGACATAGACTGGTCGCACGTCTTCTGCTTGAGTCGTCATATGCTTGGGAAATCCCAGGTCCTTCTTCACAGCAAATTCATGCAAAATAGACTTGCAATGTCTTGGATCCTAGAATAAAATTAAGTTTAAGAAAATCAGAAGATTTCAACAATGGTAATAAAATCAATGCAATCCCTGTACTAGCAGAAGCCAACAAAGTTGCAGACAAACAAAAATCTTCATGGCACAAAAACAAATAATAAACTTGAGAATTCAAAACACCTTGTAAATGGTGGGACATTCTTCAACTTTCAGCTTTTCTTTTATGCACTCGAGAGCAAATTTTGCAGCACCCGCTCAGGTTCTTTTCGATGAGAAAATGTTAGCCTAGACTCATAAGTTGTTCCATCAACCAGCACACTTGACCTAAACTTTGGTGCATGATGGAATCCTTCATTAGTGGTATGGTAAACTGGGAATGGCAATTCTAATTTCTGAGCGTGCTCTTGCAGATTGTTCTTATACAACACAAGCTCAGGTACATCTAAGGAAATTCAACGTACGGAACATCCAAAGAGTTAGTAATGCAATTTCGAAGAAGACAATCAGAACCATAACTGTAACTAATGTGCCTTACAAAATGCTATTAACCACATTCAGCAAATGGGGTTTGTTCGAAAACAAATTCTTGAAAGAAAATTGTAATTTATAAGGATCAACATGATAATCACATAAAAGTTAAAACAGAGGTTGAGGGAAATGATACTGGGGAAGAGAGAAAATAAGGACATACCTTTCTCCATTTTTTTCTGCGCAAGTTTTGAAAACTGTCTCTTTGTGAGCTACTTACTACTTTGGCTTGTGTTTCTGGCATTTTTGTGACTACTTATAAACAAGGATACTGAGACCAGAACAGAATTAGTACATCTATGAAAATGGTTGGTCTTGATTGATGAGAAAAATTCCATTGCGGGGTACATGTTGATCAATGCTTTGGTTAAAATGTTATTCCCTTTCTTTTGAACAGACCCACATGATCTTGACTGATTAACAAGTTAAGCTGCATGCATGAGAATATTAGTACCCTACCCATGAAAAGAGTGTGGCAAGTTTTTTCACTTCTTTTTAAATAAATAAATATACTCATTCCATATGATACTCAAAAGTTTTTCATTTCTCCTTGGTTTCGATTGCATTAATTTTTCCGATCATATAAAAAAATTTTACCAAAATGCTTTTTATTAAATGTAAAATGAAATAAAATTCTAGAAGTTTTAAAAGTAGAAGAAACATGTTATGTGATTTTAAATGCTTTTTTTTAGTAAATCCAAAATATATATATATATATATATTATCAATGGTCAGTGAAGATGCTGCATGCTGTTTCCCTGAAGTGCACTTTTGCGTCACTGGAGCTTCCTTCTCTCGCATAAACAACAGAAGACAGAATCCCAGCGAACCAATCAGTCTCTCAATTTATGTTTTGCAATATAATTGGAGGTTACTATCCCACTCTCCTAACCACTAATGTTTAATGTTAGCCAAAAAAAAAGGTAAACACTTACTGTTTAGCAACAAAAAAGGAGTATGACTAAGAGGTTAGGTTATAAAAGCAGGAGTAAATTATAAGTTTATCAATCTCGTATAGAAAAATGAATTAATTAGTCCCCTTTCTTTAAAAATTAATTATTTAGTACTTTGTCTTTTAATTTCATCAATAACTTAGTTATTTTATCAGTTTTTTATTAAAATAGTGATTTTTTTATTTATAAATTGTCTTTCTTTTGATTTTTGATTGAAAAGAAAGTGAGTGAGTGAGTAAAAAAAACATCAAAAAAGAAACAAATTTGAGAAAAAAATGATGAAAAAACTAAGTTATTAACAATATTAAAATATAAAAAAACTACATAATTATTTTTAAAACAAAAATAATTTATTTATTTATTTCTAGAAGCGAGGGACTAATTTATAATTTACTCAAAAAAGCAACTTACCTCCTAGAACACTTAGGCGTTGAATAAATGGATCTCATGCTAGATATTTTTCTATGTTAATCTGGTAAGAATATTAAAGATTCGCATTACTCTTTTTTTCTTTTTTTTGGCTTTCCAACATCAAATTAGAATGACCCTGCAATTGCGAATGATTATTCTTCGAAAAACAATCAAGGAAAGATTCATCACACCATTAAACTATCTTCTGTTGAATTTTCATTCCTTCAAAACCAGTAAACTGCCAGCCAATGGCGTCAACTACATTAATAGAACATATCACAGATACCATAGGACTAATACAATACTGTCTTGTTCAGACCAAAATCCTTTTTCCTATCAAAGCACACTAAGGAATAGGATAAAGAAAATTTTGTTGTTTATCAAAAGATGAATGGAGTCAAATTAACAAGAGAGCACATCTCCTCTCTGCAATCTAGAGGGATGAATATAACAATGTAGTCCTCTTGTAGTTAGCTTCCACATAGTCTTCCGTGTAGGTCATTGTGAAGCACCCCACTATCCACACAATGCTGGAAAACAGGCAGGTCACCAGATTCAGTCACCTGAATCTCTATAAAGTTGCAACCTTCTGGGACAAGTCGTTGACATCCTCATCATTGACCTCAGCAATCCCCTCCTCCTGTTATAAGAAAAACTAAAATATGAAGAGGGGATGAAATGCAGCTTTTTAATAACAGAAAAAAAAAAAAAAAAAAATTAAAGCAAGAAAAACCTACGGAAAAATGCATGCACATTTAAACAGACTTCCACACATGACTACAAGCCAAAAAGAAATATAATAAGCATGGTTCCCAAAAATAGCAAAACAACTCATCATACACTCTTATCGATTTTAGCAACACTAAGAGCAACCAGCCCCCTAAGACTACAACTAGTCCTCCTCGCAGCAGTGAAACCAACCTTCAGGCCAGGAGCATCACACCCAACTATGCCAGCGTGTCCAATGTTGGTGGTTATCTCTTTCACGAGAATGTTCAACCAGGTACATAGACACACCATGCACCTTAGGCCAAAAGTTCCTCTTCATTCTAAATTTGTGACGAGCATTACCAGCCTTAGCAGGGTCTCTCAGTCCTTCCTCCATCTGCAACTTGCCTCCAATCATTTCATGCCAGGCTTGCCAGCCGAGAAATCTTTTAGGAACCACAAGCAAGTTTGATCCTGGTGGTGTCACTATTAGGGTTGTGGCTGAAAGGCTGATAACAATAAAATAATCACCAGAAGCTTAAGCAACAACTCCATGATCACCAACATGATGCTCAAAATTACAAAGAATAGCGCCTTAAGGGATAGATCAAAGCGGCAAACATTAGCAACCATAAGTGCTCCCTTCTTGTCCCAGTACACAACTGTCCCGAGGACATAACCTTAGCAGTACCAAAGAGTTCTTTTCATTTCTTACAACATAATAGGTATCCAACAGAGCTTCACCACCCAGGTGATGAGTAATTTCAGCCACAACTCCTTTTAGGTTGCTGTTTCTTTCACCTAAAGTAAAGGACCAGAACTGGGATGGTCCATTGAGGTTGTGGATGTGGGGCTCAGAATACTGGCCCAGCATCCTTGCATTGAGCACAATTACATGATCCACTTTAGTCTGTGTTTGTGTGTGAAGGAGAAGTGAAGCAGACTCTCTGTGGAGACGATGAGATGGGTGAGAGAGTTTAGGCTATCTTATCTTTATTTATAAATGTATATCCCTTTTTATGCTCAAATCTTCGACTATGCAGTCTACCTACAACTCTTCCACATAACGACAAAGAGTTTTATATGTAAAATGACGTTACTTACCTCTGAATCTCTTTTTGGTTTCACAACCACACATTTGGAGGCACTGATGCTAGCACTCTTCAATAGGCTTCGATTGCTGTAGTTTAATCCGTTTTGTGTCACAGCCTCTGAACCATCTGCATGCTGTGATCCTGGGGGACTTTCAAGAGATGTTGCAACAGAAGCTGCAGTTCGGCCCTCAATATCAGTGTTTTGGGCAGCAGTCTCATCCTTGGGTGCAGAAACCCGCTCTCTGAAGAGGAGGTAACACTTGTAGGTCATCGATATAATCCATGAAAATTGCATCAAATAGTTGATTCAGTGATGTTTTGTTAACGGAGCCATGATTCATTTGAAATTGGTCAAACGATTATATGCAGAGGGAGGGAGGGAGGGAGGGAGGGAGAGGGAAAGATTTGTATGAAAGAATGAACCAGCTTGCCTAATCATAAGATCATATAGCTGCGAAAGAAATGAAATGAAAAACCTCAGATCCAACAATTACCTAGGCAAGGAAGCGTGTTGTCGCTGCAGTGGAGTGCTTCTTTCCCCTTTACCATAGTGCTCCTCCAGATGCGCAAATTGTCGCTTGAATCGATCAACACCACTATGTTTGACAGTAAGAAATAACATCAAATAGCCAAGCCCTATGTCTGAACATATAGTATAGCATTTCCAAAATACATGCAATTCATAAAATCAATTCACTAATGTGCATGCCAAATGCCAACTTCTAAAACTTCTCTAAGGTCTTGTTTACTTGTGGAGAATTTTCCAGTTTCTAGGAAAATTTTCTAAAATAAGATAATTGTAGAAAACATTTTTTAACAATTATTGTTTTCTTGGAAATGTGTGTTTTCTAGGTTATAAACAACCACCAACCTTGGGTACATAAAGCTAGTCTGCTCTCCACCTCGAATGTACTCCTGCAGCATCTGCGGGTGATACTCTAGTATCTGTTTACAACAAACCAATAGTTCATTTTAGGCACATTGATGTGTGAAAACCATAGTGCAAAAGAAGCAACAGATATCAAGTGTTACAGCCGTACCTCTCGGTAGATCAGCTCTCTTACATCATCTTTTGTCAATTTTCTCCTCTCAAACTCAAACTCCAATTTTGAAATAGGTTGAGTGGATGGCTCACGCTCAACATTTGACAAACCACTGAAGTAAGGATCAGCTAAAGCCTGGGAGCATTAGGGATGTTAGAACGTGTCATGATTCACAAATAACTGTTATATGTATGTCTTTTGTTTTTATTTTAATTTTAATTTGATATAATGATTACGAAATCCCTGAATCTTAGTACCTCTGCAGCTGTCGGACGATCTTTAGGATCAAATGCAAGCAGGCGCTCCAGTAGGCGAAGAGCTAATGGATCTACGTTGGGGAACTTCTGAGGGAATGGAATTGGTGGTTTCTTCCGCATGCTACTAAGATACCTCCTTGCCTTTTCATTTCGAATCTGCCAACATAATAGCAAGTAGCAAACAGGAAAAGTATGAGTGAAAGAAGGAACAAAAGGAAACAACAAACTACATTACACAAAAAGCAGAACAGCAACAAATTAGTGCACTTTTTTAAGAACTAGAAGAGCAATTTACTGCAAAAGGCTTATAGCAATGACAGCATAAAAGTGTACAGCTGGTTTGTCTATTGACAACAGAAAAGGATTGACTGCAACTAACCCTTGAAATAGATTCAGGAGGAGGAGTGCCCAGCAAATCAGTCATGAGATCCAATTGGTGAACCACATTTTTTCCAGGAAAGAGTGGTTTTCCTGTAAGCATTTCAGCAAATATACATCCAATGCTCCAAATATCAATTGCAGGAGTGTACTGAACAAAGATGAAAACACATAGTAAGTACATATTTTCAACAGTGGAAGAAAAATGATGCCAAGATAGCCTCTCATGAATAGAAGAAATAATTGAAATAAAACATTAAGCTTGTGCAGTCAACATTTACCAATATGCCAAAAGAAAAAAAGTGAAAACACGCAAGACGTCAAGAATGAAGAATGTACACAATCTCATACCTACCATGTGCATGTTCACGTTTGTGCGTGCATATTATAAATAAAATACAATCTTCGTGCATATTCTAATAAAATATATTCTTCAGTATCATTATGACCATCTTGTACCATGCTGCAACATCTCAACAATTGATTGAATTTCACTGAAGATGAAATTAATCAAAGAATCAAAGAACCCGATGAAAGAAATGTCAAGCTTAAGGCTTAAGATTGTGCGGGAATACAGCATAGATCCATACCGAATCCTATACATTTTAAATTGATAAAACGCCAGCCATGATCGAACTTGAAATGTAATGTTTTATCATTTTTAGCTGCTGACAAATATTGTTCAAGCAAGGTTTCCTCATTAAGGAGCAATACCACTTGTTACTGAAAGGTTATAAATATTTAGGTGGTGGTGGTGGTGGTGGTGGTGGTTTGGTTTTGTTAAAATTCCTCATTAAAATCCAGAAGTAAATTGAAATTACCAACGATAGGTCCAAAATGAGTGTCCTATTACATATTAAATTATTTGGACATAACAAGGTGAAGTAATCAATGCCACTGATGCCCAGTATTGTTGGGAAAAATCAAGAAAGAAGAAACCAACAAACAGGGATATCCTTATTTAGTTTCCCTACATCAATATTTTCTGATACCTTAAACGATCGCAGCAACGAGAATAGAATAGGAAAGTAATAAAAGGGTTGAGACATTAAAAAATAAAAACAGCTTACTTTGGAGAAAAAAGAGCCACAGAGTTCAGGAGCACGATACCATCTAGTTGCTACATAATCCTTCAGAAAAAAGAGGGAAGAAAAAGTTAATATACTATAGTGCTTAGAGGCTTTCTGCCTGTAATTTTCAATAAGATGAAATCACATATGAGCATCATTGAAAGAAATCCAAATGACAAAAAATAAAAAATGCTCCTCTATGCTTTAGCATTTTTCCATATTTAGCACGTCTTATCGATTTTTGCAGACATGTCTACGAGCTTTTATCAAGTGTTGCAATTATGTAGTGCCACAATGGTCCAAGCCAATTTTGGGTTAAGACGTTGACATGCAATCTTTATGTGCTAACATTTGTGAACAAATTCCATGTTGAAAAACTACCCAAAAGCATGAAAAATTGTATCCATTCCTAAATAAGCAACCATTTAAGGCACCAAATCCACCTCGACAACAAACCAAATAAACATATCATTAACCCAACTCCATGAGAAGCCAGCCCAGCATACAAGGAAAAAGCCCCTAACTAGCGACAAAAACATCAACACCCATGAAAAACCCATCTCTTCAAACCCATTACCCAGCTACCAACAGCCAAAAACCCAACACAACCAAACTTGATTCTACCACAACTCATTACAGGTGAAACAAGTTAAAAGGCTCCCAACTTCTCAAAACACTGCTACTTTTCCTTCTCAAGCAACCAATGCCATTAAATAAAACATTTGTACATGACCAAGACCGTGTAACAATCAACTCAATTTCAGTTTTAGAACTCATATTAACTATTTTCAAGTCATTTCTTTCTTAAAAAATCTCCCTTTATCACAATCTCATGGTTGAATTTTCTCCCTACGCTCACCCAAGTACATGTAGAATTTATGTTATCAAACTAAACCCAAATTGGACAGTGACAATAGGAAACTATTGGAGCACCTAATCAAATACACAAACAGGCATATATTGCTTGAAAATGGGCTAAAATTGACAAAACAAAAATTTTTTTGTCAGTAGGAACTAAAAGAAGAGAGAAACACAGAAGCTCATGACTTGCACTAGAGAACATACTGTCCAAAAAATAGCTGACGGGGCATCATTGAAAGATACTCTAGCAAGACCAAAATCGCATATCTTCAATTTGCAGTCAGCATTAGCAAGAATGTTTTTTGGCTTTAAATCTCGATGAAACACATTTGCTGCAAGAAATGCAAAAAATGAATCAACAAACAAAAAAAGACATAAAAAAACAAGAGACAATGAGAAACACATACCTGTATGTATATATTTGAGACCACGAAGAAGCTGGTACAAGAAAAACTGATAATGCTCAGGTGTAAGATCATCATTTGCTTTAATTACTTGGTGAAGGTCGGATTCCATCAACTCAAAAACGACATAGATATCTCTGAATTCCCTACGTGAAGGAGGAAGCATGATATGCTTTATTTCTACAATATCAGGATGACGAAGCAACCGAAGGAGTTTAATTTCTCTCAGAATACGTGTGGCATCAGAAACATGCTCAAAAACATCATTAATCTTCTTGATTGCAACCCTTTCTCCAGTATGACTGTCAATTGCAGAGCCAACAACACCATAACTACCTTTCCCGACAACTTCTTGTACTTGGTATCGACTAGCCTCTCCATACTCAGTGAAGAAATCTGCCTCAGCCGAGCCCTGTGTAAAGAACCAAACTTACTTTTTGTCAACTTCAAACTGCAAAATTTAAGTGAGAATTTCAAAGTAGAAGGACTGGAGTACATGTAAAAGGTATGGAATCAACTATCTCGTCCAATCATGTCATTGGGAAACATTGATCAACACAAGATCTATGAAAGGGAGCTAGGGATAAAACCTATCTTTTAAGGCTTATTGGTTTTAGTACCAAGAACCAGAAGCAGCAAATAGTTCAGACACTAACACAAATAAAAATTGAAACTTGTTGATGCATTTTGCAAAAAGACTCCAATTTCCATGAAGCTGATGCAAGAACATCACAACTGTCCATTACTTTCTAAAATCCACCAAATGAACAACTTTGCATTCTTACCATCTTATACAACAGAGAATAGGTCAGATTGTAGCATCACAACTTGTAATTTGAAAACAGTTCTCGAATCACATAAAAAAATAACCACAAGAAAAGGGAGAGCATTTTCAAATAAACAACCGTGTTGCCTACAGATCCAATCAGGTAAAAGACTAAGTCACTAAAAAGAAATAAGATTAACTAATCATTCCTAAAAACCAAAACAGAGAGACTGCGAAACAACTAAGAAATGGAAATGCTGATGACTGTAATTAATTATGAACATCAAATAACCATGCAAAACAATTATTGATAACAACATGTTGCAACTAATAAGCAAATCGACAATGATGATTGCCCAAACTTTAAAATGGCACATTCTTTTGCACCCATAAGTGCAGATGAGTTCAATGAAGGAATATATTTTACCAAAAGTGAAAGAAATCAGATAAAGGAAGATCAATAACAAGCACCAACCAAAAGTTCAATTTTCTCATTTAACCCATCACATTTTTGCAATCAAAAGAAGAGATTTTGAGCTCATTGAAACACATTAACGGAGCAGCAAAACAAATCCCAGAAAGCCCAATTAAATTTTTTTTATTAAAAAATAATAAAGAAAACATCTTTAACCACGTCATAGAAACAAAATGAAAACAGCAGTTATGAAAGAAACCAAAGAAGAAGGAAAAAAAAAAAACAGAACAAAAACCCACAAGACAGAGATCTATGAGTACTCTTGATTGTCAAAAGGGGGATTTGGGTTACCTTCTTGTGAGGATCCATGGGAGAACCAAGAGGGAAATGGATGCGTTTAGGAACTCTAATAAGTTTTAAACCAGAAATATCAAAATCTTCAATCACAGTTAATTCTTCTTCCTCTTTCTCCTCTATTCCCTCCTTCACCTTCACCGATGATAGTGGAGAACCACTATTATTAATATTAGAAGAAATTTTGTTATTAATATTATTATTAGTGTGAGTATGATTGTTATTGTTGGTTCGGCGTTGAAACCAGCGACGAACACCGTCCACGAGCGTTCCACTCCCACCCATATAAAACTTCTCTGATTTCCCTTTTTGTTTTATAGCCACCAATTTCCCAGCATTCCTCGCTCTCTCTCTCTCTCTCTCTCTATTTTCTCTCTCAGCTAGCCATCTGTTCTACTGCTCTCTCTCTCTCTCTCTCTCTCTGCTAGCTGCTTTCTATATTTTCAATTCTCGTTAACGAAGTGTGTGGTCCTGTGGATTGAGCGATACGTACGGAGGACAGTGAAGAGAGACATGCGGCGCTTCACTTTGCTCCTCGTTTCCTCTTCTTTCCTACTTTGCTTATCAGTTCACCTAAATATGCAATTTATGACATAACATAACAATAAATGACCGGATGTCTACACGTTTTTCTGTCTTAAAGCCTTTTTTTTACCTAAAAGAAATAAATACATTGCTGAACTAATTGTATAATATATCCCTCAAACAAATATTATATCTTTTTTTTTTTTACGTAGAGTCATTCCATTATATTTATCTCGATTGATAGATAAATTAGTTTGAAAATATCTATTACCGTTATATTAAAAAAAAAATTCATGCTGAGGTCAAAGCGTTATTTTTTTCTTAAATAAGACTAATCTGATTTAATATATCATTTTTCAAAAACATGAAATTTAAGAGAATGAATTTTCATATTATTAGTTGAAAGATGCATCGAGGCGTGTTTTCTAGCTGTCAGAACAAAACAAAAAAAAAAAAAAAAAAAAAAGAAACAAACTTTGATGGGCTAGTCTAATCAAGTGATGTCACTTACGTTGTATTAAAAATGTTATATTTCTTGTCAATTAGGTTTTACAATATATGATTACGAGACATTATGAATGGGACACCAATATTGCGATAAAGCTGGTGATTGCTACAGAAAAAAAAAAAAAAAAAAAAAAAGACAAGTGCTTTCCTTTTTTTCTTTTTTTGTATATAGTTGTAAGGATTTTATTAGAGTAAATTATAAATTAATCTTTCTAGTTTTGATAAACAAATAAATTTTTTAATTTGTTTCAAAAATTAATTATTTAATTTTTTTTATCCATTTGATGTTTTTTTTTAATTTTTTGTTTCATAAATTATATATATGTATATGAGAAAATTAGTGAGAAAAAAATCATTTTTTTAAATAAGTAGTATATTAAATTAAATATGATCAAAACTAGTAAAAATAAATAATTAATTAATTTTTTTAAAACAAAAAAATCTAATTAATATATTTTTCAAAAAATAAAGAGACTAATTTATAATTTATCGTTTTTTATTAGGCCTTGAAAACTAGGTGATTAGAGAAGCCAGATTCAGTCATCCAAGTGACAAATATCGTCCATTTGAAATTGCCAGCATGTCTCCAGTCCGACTTTGATTTCGAACAACTTCTATTAATTATTTTTCGCTGGCATAGACGAGATAAACAAGTTAATGTGACGAAACAAAGATGAAAACCATTAAATTGATAATTTTATGAATTCAGGATAAGTTCTTTGACCAAATGTTATCATTATTATTATTATTATTATTATTATTATCATCATCATCATCATTATCTGACCAAAGGTTTTAAACTATAAACAGTAAAATAAAGAAGCCGTAATTCACTAAACATGGAAATAAAAATAATATAAAATATATGGCTAATCTCTACATAAAAACTATTACTTAAAATGTAAATTGAGCAGTACTCTAAGTTATCGCCGCCATTGTATGAAAATAAAATCACAATAATAAATGTAGCTGGTAGAGAAATTATTTTACTCCAAAAGTAATTAATAATACTTCTATAAAAAGAAAATTAACATTAAATTAAATGAAAATATTCTTATTCAATTCAATCTATTTTGTTTTTTTATGTTTGTTTGTTTTCTCAAAATGGATTCATGAAACAATTATAATAAATTTATTCTTAAATATTTTAAAATTTCTCTAATTCATTTATGTCCCACGTCACAACCTTAATCCATCCATTTCGTGAACTCGGACAAAATTTTTATTATGCTCAAGTATTATATTAGGATATGTCAAGTTCGAATTTACATTTTATTTTGTATGGTTGAAAAAAAATTGAATTTATTGCACCAAAATAAGATTAGGGTTTCATATTTATGCCATGCGAGACATTTATCTTAGCTATTCTTTAAAAAAAAAAAAAAAAACATTTATTTTAACTTCTCTAGATATGGTATTTATATTGAACATATTGGTTCAGATTTTGATTACATTTGGAGATTCCTAATAATTTAGATGATTCTCTATATGCAAAATTTTCATTTTTAGGAAATATTTATCGTCCACAATAGTTTATATTTCAAAGGAGTTGGGCCACTTTTTTAACACATTAATTTTGATGTGGATGATCTACTGAACTTAAAAATACTTTGACATCAAAATCATGATTTTGAAGTAGATAATTCTCCCTTCAGTAATTAAAACATTAGTTTTGGTATTTATTAAATCCACTTGTTTGAGTTAATGATCAGTACTTGTCACTTTCAACTAGTAAATTTATACCCACTGAAAGTGCTTGAAAGATAATCAGATTCTGGATTATCAAAAAAAAAAAAAAAAACTTTTAACTACTAAATTATAAATTAGTTCTTCTAGTTTTGAGAAACAAATTGATTAATTTTTTTTCAAAACTAACTATTTAATCTCTTAATTAGTATTGATTTGAGTTTAATTTGATGTTATTTTATTTAAAAAATTATCTTCTTTTATCATCAATCTTTCCATAATATTAAAACATCATTTTATTGCACGTTTATAATTTTAATCAATTTCTTAAGCGTCCGACATCTCATGCTTACTCGGAAAATGTGGCACGCGTTCATGCAAGCAGATTTTCCTTACGATAATCTGAACTCCTCGAAGAATTGGATGCTTCATTTGTCATGCCACAGCCGTCCATATATACATGAAGGAGAGAGTGTGTGTATATATTTTGTCACGTCAAAGCAACCTAATCACATTGAGCCCGTCGCCGTTTTTGATCAGTGCAAGTTTTGACCTAACTACTGTACATTGCCATCGATCCAAATCTGTAACTGGCTATGAACGAAGTATCCACATCATCCATTGCTTTAAACTCTTCAATGTTACAGCCATTTTACATGAGATCACGCGGTCCAGACTTACTGGGCAAGGAAAAATATGAAATGAAAATAAGTCTATTTGGAATAAAAGTAAGCTGATAAGCGTGTGAGCTAGCTGGACATGATGAGGTTTGGTTCATGTCTTGATCAGAATGAATTGTTGACTCGCTCGTAGATAATTGAGCTGTTCGGCACACTCATCTCATCACCATCAGTCAGGGAAGGCAATTTATCCCACCTCAACGGAATCATATCCTACCTTAATTTTTTCCGACCAACATGAGGATTTCCTGCATGGATTGGAGAACAGGATGGGATGAGGCGTCCCATGAGCAGAGACGGGACAAAAATGGTATTTACATGCTCTGTTATCATTTGCTCTTAAAATTTTTTCATTAAAATTATAAATTATATCCTATATAAAATCTATAACTTATGATTTTTAGGATTTATTTTCTATATAAAAAATTTAAAATTTAATAATAAAATGGGATAAGACGAGACAAAAAACATTTAATAATTTTTACTCCATCACTATCCCATAAGGATCTACATCCTTATTTGAGTCGAGGATAGTATGAAAAATTTATTTTCTATATAAATTATAATTTTTTTATATAATTTAAAATTTAATAATAGAATAAGAAAAATAAGATTAAAAAAAAAAAGATAATTTTTACTTCATAACTACCCCTTAAGGATCCCCATCCCCATCCCTGTTGAGACGAGGATAGTATAAAAAAATTTACCTCATACTCGGAATGGGGCAAAATCTTTTACATACAGGGCGGGAACGGGGATGGTCCCTAGCTTCGGTGGTCCAAGCTTGCGGCTTCGAGATCGACATGGTGCTCTAATTTGATCCGGCTTGGGTTCCAAAGTAGGCCTTCCTAGTTCCTAAAAGCAATGCTATATATATATATATATATATATATATATATATATATATATATTCAATGACAAACAAGTTTAATCTACCGTTATATATCTACTTAACTTCTTGAGTGAAAAAAGTTTGCATTTTAGTGATTTCAAATTTTTTTTACTAAGGAAAAATTCATTCCTCGTTGTGTAGTCAAAAACCCAGCCACAGTAACGCATTCATGTTTCATGCTTGGCATAATTGACTTATGAACTATATCCACCGAGGGATGCAGGGTAGTTTGAAAAGGTCCTTTTAATACTTGTTAGTTGTTGCATCAAAGTATTAACATCCTTGCAATACTTCAATATTATATAAAACATTTCAGTCATTTGAAATCTTCTTTTTTTCTTTTTTTTTTTGAAATCCAGCTTTCTATTATATATATTATTGCCTTATAGGCTCTGTATATTAATGATTTTGTCTCTCCATCTAGTTCCTTTACACTGTGGTTGCCGCATGCCAAGGTTTTGTGCATCAAGACATTAAAAAAGTAGGCGTCCAAATGATCAAAACATTAAATAAAAAACTCAAATTTGGATATTATATAAAGAAATTAAAATTAGAGGGAAAATAATGTATATTTTACCCGACAGTTTTAATTTAATTTATATAATATTTTTTAATATTAATTTAATTTCTAATTTTGAGGGGGGGGGGGAACCCAAATTTCTTTCTAAATAGAGGAAAAAAGGTGTACACTTTACCCTGTAATTTTAATTTAATATTTATTTATTAATATATCTTTAATATTTCTTAATTTATAATATTTTGAAAATTACAATCATTTTTTTTTCAATTAGAGAAAAAATGCATGGTGAATACTTTACCATCCAATAAATTGGTTAATTTTTTTAATTTTAATTATTTCATAACTAAAAAAAATCAATTATTTAATATTTTACCCAATAATCTTAATTTAATTTGTTTACTATTTATTTAATTTCTAATTATAAACAACAAAACCTCTTTTGATCTTTTAATGTTTTCTAGTTCTATTAATATTCAAAGTTCATTTTTTTATTTTCTTTAATTTTTTGATTATTTATAAAAAAATTCATGTTTTATTGTTTTAAGCCTCGCTGTAAAGATCTTCCAAAAAAGCACCTGATGTAATGAAACCAGACGGACTGACAAGTACCTTTAACAGAAGAATCCGGATACAGAGAAAGAAAAATTCATATAATCTAAAGAGCATAGGGACAAAACATAACATTTACTCCGTCTTTTATCTAAA